AGATCTAATTGACATCTTCAAGAGGATAAATACTGTGAAAATGAGTTACAGCTGACATCAGCATGGGCTGAATGCCCACCTTCTTTACTGTAGTCTTGAGGATTCATCGACTTCAATCGTATATTCTCCACGGTCTACTGGTTATGTTTTCTGCTGGATCTCAATAAATCTGAGCGTTTCCACATGTCTTGCTGTACTCTCTAAGATTATTCACTAAAATGCTTCCAACAAACAATACGTGCTGAAAACAAAGGGACATTTTGTCCCACCATCTGATGCTCCACTTATGACAAAATCAACTTGATATCATTCATCTGTAATGAGCTGTCACTGATGTCTTTGACCCTCTGCCATCTTACTGTAATGAGTTTAAGAGCTTCCTGTCAGCAGACAATTCAGCTGCATTGGTTAGTTGCTCGCACAAATGAGTCAACTCTTCACAGTTTCATTTTTCCACTTTCCTCTTCTCTCCCAGGGCACAATCATATCCAATAAATCTTAGCCTGTAGGGCAACGACAAACAAACATAAACAAGTTGCATCCTTCACATAGGAATAGCATCTCAAGGCACTGCACAGTGGCATAGTCGGAGCCAAACAAGGGAGTGACCATACACACAGGTGGGATTTAATAATAATAATCCTTGCATTTGATATAGCACTTTATCATGTATTCTAGACATCTCAAAGCACTTCACAGAATATATTGTATAGTAAATTGACCATATATCTTGTGGGCAGAACACTGCAGCCAATTCTGCACAGTAGTGTCCCACAAATAGTTGTGGTTTGAGTGACCATTAAGAATTGGGATCCTACCTACTGCTGGAAAAACAGAGGCTTGTGGAGAAAATTGCCTAAGGTTTCACCCTGCCCAGGAATTGCCAAGGCAAGTGCTATAACCAATACGCTACAGAGCTCCATGAAAAGGGGGATTTAAACTCATATATAGAGGGGGGTAAGGAGGGATAAAGACAGGGATTTCCAAAAGCTAAGGGCGTATTGACAGAAGATTATTCAGTCTTAAGAAAAACAGAAAAGTGGGAGAAAAAAATTATAATTGCAGAATGTGGTTATAGTAGAGGAGCGGAGAAGAGTAGAGAGTCAATGTTTGACAACCAATAATCCTAACAACCAAGTAGCAGACTTTTTCTACTTTTTTTGTGGAGGTAGAATTATTTGGAAAGCAATAACATTAACTGCCTAAGACATAATACTCATTGATCTTGTTCCAATCATATTATTCACCCACAAAATGTACAGTCATTTCAGTAAATCCTGTGAAGTGCTTTAAGATGTTTTGATGATTTGATAGAGAAAAAGATGATTATTATTATTATAATACCAGGCTAGCAGTTTCATCAAAGCAGACAATCCTATTACAGACTGCTATTTATTAATGTTGTAAAGCATTTATTGGTTTTAAATTAATTAACCTCAATTATATTTAGTCAATAAGTTACATTTATGATAATACTTGCATTTGATATAGAGCCTTATTGCGTCACTGAGACATCAGGATGCACTTCACAGGATTCACTGTGAAGTGTAGCAACAGTATTTTGTAGCTGAATACAGTAGCCAAATTGCACACAGCAATATCACACATAAAGTGAATGATCCATTTTATTTGAAACTCCCTCTTTTTCAAGTAGTACAATGGGATACTTAACATCCACCTGAGCAGGCAGATGTGATCTCAGTTCAACATCTCATCTGAAGGATAGTAGCTCTAAACTCAAAATCCCAATGTGGAACTTGAGCCTACAAATTTCTGACTTAGAGGGGTAAGTGCTTCCAACCGCGCCATGTTGACACTTAAATGTTAATACATCTAATACAGTGTTACATAAAGATTATTACAACAACTTGCATTTATATAGCGCCCTTCAGGTGGGACAGCAACTCGGAGTGTTTATTAACTCATCCAACATTGGAACAGCTGATTGGTGAAATTCCTGTGAACAAAATATTTTCCTGTAATGAACACTGGACATTCCAATAACTCATACCAGGAACCCACATGAATCCTGAACCTGATTGAGCCTTGCTGTTTCTACTTGTTAAAACAAACAGGAAAATTCGCACATGTGGGGGCAATTGTGAATAGTGCAAATTTATTTTCAGCACCAAAATATTGCAGCATTAACTTGACAGACTATGTTTTTACATAAGTATTATATGGACTGGCTTTCCTTTCCCCAATCAAACATAATTCCTTTGCATTTGACAAGAGTGGAAAAACAATTCTACTCTCTCCCCCTACCCCACCCCCTCGATATTCACTGACATTGCCAAGTTTATTTAAGTGAAGCTATGCTGTCTATTATCTATTGGGTAAAGGCACTATTTGTGGGTGTAGCACTATGTCATACATTTATATTAATAATCTTTGTATTTGATATAACCCCTCGTCACATCAAGACATCTCAAAGCACTTCGTAGGATAGACTGTAAATTGTTGACTCTATGTATTTTTGTGGACGATGGTGAGAAACAATTTGTTGGAATAGTATCATTCCAACAAATTGGAATGATGTGGAGTCCTGTAGCTCAGTGGTTAGAGCACTCGCTTTTCTAAGCGAGAGACCTGAGTTCAATTCCAGGCAGGGCAAAACCTTGGGCAAGTTTCCTTATTCCACACACCTAATAATAATCCCTCCAAAACCAAAACCAATAATAAATTGGTCATTTTCAATCTACGACTGTTTGTGGGACATTGCTGTGCGCAATTGGCTGCCGCGTTCGCCCACAAATATACATGCAATTCACTTTACAGTGTGTTCTGTGAAGCTCTTTGGGACGTCCTCCCGATGTGAAAAGTGCTGTATCAAATGCAAGGATTATTATTATCATGGGATCTTTAACATCCACCACAACAGGCAGATCAGACATTAGTTTAACATCTAATCCAAATCACAGTACTGCCAACAATGCAGCACTCTCTTAGCACTTTACGAGAATGTCAGTCTGGACCATGAGTGCAATGTTATGTGGAACTTGAACCCATGATCTTCTGCCTCAGAGCCAATTGAGCCATGCTGACAGTTCATATGCGCCAGGAACAAAGTTTGCATATAAAAAGTAAATTGTATGATAACTGTTAAGCTTTTAGTTTGGTTTATAAAACTTTTGTGTGAATATTGGCTCAACGGAACCCTTTTTGCTTATCTAGCAACTTTGTACATAGCACATCTGGCTTCTACTGTATCTAGCGCCATAGTCCCTAGCTCAACCTGGATTATGAGCTCAATTCCTGGCGTGGGAGCTGAACCCGCGACCTTGAGGTGAGATTCCTACCAAAGGGTGAGAATAACAACAGACACATCACTAGAACCACATTGCCTTGCAAGACATTCCATCTCAGCTGTGATAAAGTGTTTTAAAGAACTTTTCAAATAGTGTTAACGCTGCACATTTACTGTTGGGTCTTAAGGTATTTTCTTTATTCCCGGATGGCAAATTAGAGCCAGTAATGTGTTATCCGATGGCATGTGAGTTGAAATATTTGCTAATTCACACATTGATAGGTTATTCAGCCAATTGACCTTTTCTTAAGAGTTGGGCGTTATAGCACACAAGTGACTAAGGTGTAAAAAACTCATCTAAAACACAAAGTCAAAGGAATATTTCATTTTATTGAGAACCAGCACATCGCAAAACACTGAATCAACCATTTATATCATCTGTGTCAGCTTGGCTTAATGATAGCGCTCTCACCAGTAGGTTGTAGGTTCAAATCCTAAAATGACACTCCAATGCTGGGGGGGGGTGTGGGGGGGTTCAATATTGGAGGTACCATCCTTCTCCTTCAGATGAGGTGTCAAACCAAGGTTCCGTCTACCTGTTCCGGTGGATGTTAAAGATCCCATGGCACTATTTGATAAGAGAAGGGAATTTCTCCCAATGTCCTGGCCAACAAATCCGCTACAAATAAAATTGGTCACTCACTCCATGGCTGTTTGTGGGACATTGCTGTGCACAATTGTGTTGCTGTGTTTGCTTACAAATATAAAGTCACTCCATTTCACAGTAAAACCCTGTGAAGCGCTTTGAGAAATTATTCCAACATGATAAGGCACTATATCAAATTCAAGGAGTATTATTATATCAAAATGAAAAAGAGGAAATCCAACAAATCCCAATCCAGGTTATTGACATGATTGGATAACATGCCCAATTGAATTGGTGTTGCAATATTACAATACCATTTAATTGCAAACCCTCCACTGTCCAGCGCCTTGGGATGTCCTCCACGTATGAAAGGCGCTTTATAAATGCAATTTGTTGTTGTTGTTGAGATCCACAAAATATAAAGTCTACTCACTTTACAGTGTACTCTGTGGAGTGCTATGAGACGTTTCAAAGACGTGATAAGGTGCTACATCATTATTATATTATTATAAATCACTTGTTTAGGTTTGAATTTTATTGGGAGAACATTAAATAAAAACATTTGAACAAGACGCAGGAGAATTGGGGGGTGGGGGCTGGAGGGGAAGAGTTTGTGTCAAACAGGCTTCCTTTCCCTTGTAGCTGTGTCCAAGGCTATTGGTCTGCCAACTTTTTNATAAAAGTTGCAAGTTAAAAGTTCCCCCGAAAAAGTGGTCACTCAATCCACGATTGTTTGTTGGGACACTGCTGTGCCCGATTGCCTGCTACGTTTGGCCCACAACCAGGTTACAATAGATTCTGCCAAGCGTTTCGGGGACGTCTCAATGAAGTGATAAGACGCCGGATCAAATGCAAGGATCATCGTTATGATGAGTTGCTTTCAGATTAAAGCAAACCGTTCCAGGGAGCGGATGCCCACCAAACACAGGTGTTCCCTTGGACACACGGTGGTGGGGTGGGGGGGGGGAACCAACACGCTGTGGTTGCAGATTCAAAACCTGCGCCAGAACTGCAATTCCCGTGATGCCTCGCTTCGGGGAGCATGCGCGCTAAGTGCGGTGCCACGTCGGTCCCGGCTCGCATGCGCAGTGCCTGTCCGTCGGCCGCAGGCCGGAGTGCGAGGGTAAGTGCCGCAGAGGGAAGAGGGGCGGTCGGGGGCCCGGGATGGCGGGCTGGGCGGGCTTCTCGGATGAGGAGCTCAGACGAATCAAACACCTGAAAGGTAATTTCATTTTTTTTTTAAAAAAAGGAACAAAAAAGTAAAAACAGCGAGTGGTGGTGGGGGTGGGGGGGGGGGGAAGAGGGGCTGGAAGGGGGTGAAAGGGGGGATGGGGTTGAAGGGGGGGATGGGGTTGAAGGGGGGATGGGGTTGGAAGGGGGGAATAGGGGTGAAATTGGGGATGGAGTTGGAAGGGGGGAATAGGGGTGAAATTGGGGATGGGGGTGAAAGGGGGGATGGAGTTGGAAGGGGGGTGGGGTTGAAGGGGGGATGGGGGTTGGAAGGGGGGATGGGGGTTGAAAGGGGGGATGGGGGTTGGAAGGGGGGATGGGGGTTGGAAGGGGGGATGGGGTTGAAGGAGGGAATAGGGGTGAAAGTGGGGATGGGGGTGAAAGGGGAAGAGTTTGTGTCAAACAGACTTCCTTTCCCTTGTAGCTGTGTCCAATCTGCAGAGAGTCTCATACTGAGACTCTGCAATTAGAAGAGACGCTTATCAGGGATATTGATGCGTCTGTCAGAGGTTTCCTCCGCAAGAAATACTAACAATAATCATAACAAGCCTTGCATTTGCTATATAGTGCCTTATCGCGTCATCGAGCTGTCTCAAAGCGCTTCACGGGATTTACTGTAAACAACAACAACTTGCATTTATATAGCGCCTTCCACGTGGGGTAGCATTTCGGAGCGCTTAACAGTGGTGGAGCCTGACCCCGAGTCGAGGTAGGAGTTGACCGTAAGCACGGTCGAGGAGGAAGGTCTTCAGGAGTGATCGGGAAAAGCGGGGACAAGGAGGACAGTTTGAAGGAGAGAGTTCCAAACTTTCGGAGAGTAGTGGCTGAAAGCACAGCCGACAATGGTAGGGAGGGGACAAGGGACAAGCAGAAGGCCGGAGCCAGCCGAGCAGAGGTGGCAGGCGGTGGAGTCGGGAGTAAGCAGGTCGGAGAGACAGGGATGCGCCAGGGTATGAAGGGATTCGTAGACGAGTGTGAGGATCTTAGAAGTCAATCTGTTCTTTGATAGGGAGCCAGTGGAGCCTGGCGAGGACTGGTGTGATCAGGATATGGAATTTAGAGCATTTGGATTTGTGAATAGTGGAGCTCAGGAGACTAGCGTGGAGGGCATTGGAGAGGGAGGTGACGAAAACATGGATGAGGGGTTCAGGGGTGTTGGTTAAAATGAATTGACTGTGTAGTCCTACACATATAGGACTGACTGGAGAGGGCTCAGTCTACCCGCACCAAAATCTGTCTAGCAGTTCACCAACTTGCCTCCAGTTTTGGTTAATGGGATGTTGCGGCTGGAGAGAGGTTCAGCCCCCCAATAGAATATTTTCACCATTTGTATATATATACACACAATATATAAATACATGAGAGAGAGTTAAAGTGGTTAAATATATTAAGAACAAGCAGATATTTAAGCATTTTGTTAACAGAACATGTTTCGTCCACAAAATATACAGTCAATTCACTTTACAGTATATTCTGTGAAGCACTTTGAGACATTTGGAAGACATGATAAGGCACTATATCAAATGCAAGGATTATTATTATGTTAATAAGTGACCCTGTGAGAAAGGGACGCAAGGTCCTGACCAATAATCCCTAGGGGTAAAATTGATCAATTAATAATCACTGTCTGGTGCTGGTAGAGTGAGTGGTACAAAAGGCCTGGCAACGAATCACCAAAACACAATGACTGCCAGATTCTCAGCATCCTACCACCTCCTGCCTGCACCACAACTGAAAAGGTTTTGGAATATCTACTGGCGCCAGGCTCCTCTCTATTATAAACCTGGCCAATTTTTTAACAAAAAAAGCTTTAAAATTGTGCCAACCACTGTGCCTGTGTATCGTGAACTGCAGTCTGTTTTTAAAAAAAAACACATGGAAAATTGATTGCGTAACAGATATAGCATCTTACGTTATTAGTGGAGCCAGAGGACTGAAAAATGCCCCTAAAATTGCTTTCCATTCTGGCACAGCCACTAGGGAGCCACATCTCTGGCAGCCGTGGCTTTTGTATTCCCACCACATTATATAATGGCAAGCCAACAAAGCCAATTTTTTTTGTGAGCTGCCTATTTTTGAATTCCCATTGAATAATGTGCATGTGTTTTATGTTGGAACCAAACCAATGATGTTTATCTATATCTATATATATATAATATATATATATATGCCCTTCATCTTGAGATGCTGAACAGCCCAGGGTTGCATCTGAGGTGGGGGCCAGGGGAAAGATGGCCTAAAGCGTGGTCAAAGAGGAAGGTCTTGAAGTGGACATTGACTCCAGAATGAACCTTCAGCCATTCTTCACCCCCCAATCTGATATTCCATCCCGGAGTCCCTCCAACCTCCCTTTCAGTGTTCAAGACCTTTATCAAGAGTCACTCCATTGACTGCTTTCGGTCACCTTTCCCCTCCCACCCTCTTTAGCTCTTACGACCTGTTCAGGTGCCAGCCAAAAGTGTTGAGTGCTTTGACACATCCTTTTGCCCACAAAATACACAGTCAATTCACTTTCCAATATATTCTATGAAATGCTTTGAAATATCTCAACAACATAAGGCCTATATCACATGCAAGGATTATTACTATCCTTCCAATGCGAAAAGCGCTATATACATGTAAATTGTATTTCAGTGTCCACATACAGTTTCTCCTCTTGGCGATTACTGAGGATTGAAAGAATGGAGTGCCAATAAAAACCTGTTGACCCACTTTTTGCAGAATCTTTGAAAGGAGTACTGTACTATACAATCTTTTTGGGTGGAGTTCAATGAGGGTGTGTGCGTGTTACAGGGAGTCAATGATAATGCCTTAGGCCTGGATTCCTCTGCACCTTCAGTAGACAATAGTGAAGGAAATGGTAGAATACATTGTACTAATTATTATGCTTCCCCCTTCCTTCATGCTTCCATGTTATCTCTTGCCCACTCCTTAGTTCATGTGGTCAGTGTCTGTATAGTACACAGTGTCCTAGCCATGTACTTCATCCTGTATGTGGCCTGTTCATAACCTACCAAATGCAAGGATTGTTACGCAACAGGGTGGGGAGTTACTTGATGGTCGAAGAATTATGCCTTTCACTGTGTTAGATACTAAATTAGAAATTAAATTAGGTTTATTAGAAATAATGGCTCGTCTTTCTCCCAATCAGGAGTAGCATTGAATTCACAATTAACCAACTTAATTAAGTGGTTATTTGTTGATGCAAAATAAATAGTACTTTAGTACCTCAAAGCTCACCCTGTTGGTTATGCCAATCTAATGTCTCAATTGGTCTTCAGACTCAAATTTTGAGTGTTCAGTATGACAGATAAACAGCATTTGATAAAGCACCTTTTCATGTCAGGACGATATCTCAAAGTTCTTCACACAATATACTGTAAAGTGTAGACTATATTTTGTAGGTGAACGTGCCTTAGAACATACAGAGTCAAAAAACAAAATAATCTTCGTGGGGTTATCAACGATTACCAGTAAACCACAAGATCCATCCACTCAGTACAAACAGGGATTTGAACCCTCAGTGCAGTCTCTATGAGTGAATGCTGAAATAGACATTGCTTTTATTCTACCTCCCCACCATTGGAAGAACAGCCACAAATATTTGAGCAAATAGTTACTTTAGTGTTCAATTAAAATGTTGGTTTAAGAGCGATGGCGTCACACTGGTTTGTCAAATCTGAATATTTATGAATTGTCAATAGGAACTGCTAATCATGTCATTTCATGATATTCAATATTTCACAGAGGGTGAGATTGTATTTTAGTTACTGGAACTGTGTTATTCCTTTGTAAAAATTGTGTAAAGCGTTCTGAACCTAGATTCATCTGCTCTGCATGCCACCAAACCACAAAAGGAATGCAGTCAATATAAAACAATTCTATTTTTAAAACCCAAACCTCTGATGTTTAATGTTTGGCATGAAAAGGTTGTTATAGAGACGAAAGTTTGTTCATTATCTGCCAAGCCAGTTTTGCCATTTAAATAGCATCTTGTGTGGCCTTGTGCTGTATCCCTCCTAAAGCATTGTATAAAGTTAACTGCGGGGTAGAGGGAGGGGGTTACCACTAAAAGCTAAGGTAACTGCTACTAAGGTTTGAAATGAACCCATTCAACTCTTATGTATAGCCTCGGTGGAGTGAAATAAGGAGGATGTCCATGTTGCTTTGATTTTACTGAGTTGTCAACAATTAATAATATTAATAATCCTTGCATTTCATATAGTCCCTTATCACGTCATCGAGATGTTTTGAAGCACTTCACACAATATACTGTAAAGTGAATTGACTGTATATTTTGTGGGCGAATCGTGGCAGCCAATTGCGCACAGCAGTGTCCCACAAACTGTCGTGGATTGAGTGACCAAATTATTTTTTTAAGAGGATTTTTACCCCCAGAAAGCGATCTGACAAATTCCTTATTTTGCACAAGTCATATGAAATGTTATGGTCCCAGCTGATATGACGTATTTGAGTTTTACTATACTGGAAACGGATTAAATTGCCTTCTATACAAAAACAAAGTTCTTGTTTAATTTCAGATCCTTCTAACTCTGAAATGCCAGACCGAGCCAGACGAGCTCCTGCAAGCAAAAGTCGGCAGCTGCTCCAGAAGGAGAGAGCATTGCAGCAGCATCGTCTCAGAGCAGCAGAGCATGATGGAGGTCCCTCAGCACTCCCTGAGCAGCAGTTATCCAAGCCTAAAATGAAACCTCCACATGTTACAGTGATACAAACACCACCACCATCAAGCAAAATGGGACAGAAGCAAACATCTGAAAAGGAGCAGAATGACACTGAAGTGCATCACCAGGACAAAAGGCTGGGTGGAAATGTGGAAGGGAGAGCCCAGGATTCTTCAGTTAAAGAGACAACGGAACAAGTCAAAGAAATGCCAAAAGGAGTGGAATTGTTAGTAAGTCTGGAAATTTCTCCCCAAAAGCTCAATTCTTCAGAAAACTTTCCTCACCTGAATCGTTTCAGTAAGAAAATCCTATTCAAGTCATAACTTCTCATTGATAGTTTCCTCCAGACGTGAACGGCGCTACACATGTAATTTGTTGTGGTTTGAAGCAAGCATACCACCCCCTTTCCCTTCAACCAATGTCAAATCAAACCCAGATTGAATAAAATATTTCTTACAATACTAGCTGCAAGGCGCTAACAAGAAATTAGATGTTCCAATACCATTTCCAATTTAGTTTGAATCCAAACACAGAATTGCCTGCAATTTCACACTGAGAATGAACATTATTCATGATACAATGGGCAATGCGTTTTGAGGTTAGGAATAAAGCACGGCATAGGCAGAACAGAAATTCCTTCCATCTGGATTGAGAGCACTTCCACTGAGCTGCGAGCACTTGTGCACAATGCCAAAGGTGCTGTGCATTGAGACATTACAGCTTTATTTATGTCTAACATAGGAGCACAAGCATTCACGCTGTAGGTTTAATTTGAAAAGAGTGATGTCACCCAACTTGACAACTCTCCCATATCGCGACCAGACTTTCCTCTCATCGAACTGTATTAATTCTTCATCTCTTGTGTGCACCTGCATGCATGAGTGAGAATGCAGGAATGGGAACAATGAACATTTCCATTAATTCATGTTCAACTAGGAATTCCTGAATACAAAAGATTTATAACTTGCTTGTGCTCTTTAGCCTCTTCATTACCCTTCCTCTCTGACTTGGCTCTTGGATTCTCTTTCTCCTTCCTCTTCTAGATTCATATTCTTTCCACCCTAAGTTCCTGCATTGACTTTGCTAATTTCCTGAACCCCCAAGGTTAACAGTTAACACACGCATCTAAATATACTTGAAGAAAATGTCCAATCTTGTATTGAGAATCTCTGACAATTTCTGTGGTTTCAGAAGACACTGAAACTACTGTAGATTGGGAGTTAATTATTTCTGTAACTTAGAAAGTGCCAGAAATCTCTAAAATAACATTGAATATTTTTCAACATTGCTCCTTCACCAGTGCCTTCTGCCCCACCACTGACAGGCGAGCTTTCAACCACTTTGCCTCCGCACTCTGGAATGCTCTCTAAATCCCCCCACATCACTTGTTCCCTCTCCATATATAAAACTTTTCAAAAACCCTACCTCTGATTGTGATTCGATCACCTCCTACATTCCCTCCCATTTCTCACCTTATGCAATCTGCAGAGCACTGTGGAAGGTTTTCCGACTTAACGTTCTGTACGGGTCAAGTAAATTATTACCACGTCTGTGCTCAGTATCATGGCAAACACACATAAGCACTCACTCCTTTAAACCTAAAAGAATGGCCAGTATTGGAAGAGATGCAGTGTGGAATCTCTTTGTGTGGAAAGCCATCGACTTCTGCTTGGCACCTCATCAATATAGGAAGTTACAGATCGCAGCAGCTTTTCAGAGAATTGTGTGAAAGCATCTGCATCGCATCACTCTGTTATTGCAGCTTCCAATAATGCAACCAAAACCACTGAACCAGCACAAGCCATGAGGGGCTTAGTTTTGTAAAGTAGACATACAAGTAATTGGGCTATAGTCCGATTATATATCCAACTAACTACTGTAGTGGACATTGGCACAAGTACCCAAGTAAAGCAATGGTTAATCATTGAGTTTTCTGGTTTTCATTAGAATTCATTAATTACACATTAGCAATTTGCTGATGACAAGATCGTCTCCCACGGGAAACTAAAAGCATCAATAAAAAAAGTTAACTATGACATTTGTAATGCAATTGTGTCCCTGCAGGCGGGAGAGATCATGTCTGGAACATCTGCAGCTGGAACAGCGTTTTATTGAAGAGAAGAATAAACGCAAGAAAGCACTTCTGTCCAAGGCAATCGCAGAAAGGTACAGTTCGATAAACACACAGACAGAGGATAAAAATGGATCTGTACTGAACCAAAAAAAACAGGCTCCTATGGACCAGTGTGTAGCTTTGGGGTTTAAATAATGGTTCTTTCACGCTAAGATGTGGGTTGGATAAAGGATTGGATTTCCAAATTTGAAATCCTTTCCCATTAAAACTCACTTTGCAAAAAAAAAAGTTTGTAACAGACTTGCCGTGTAATTAAAGCAGATCTTATTAACTATAGAATTGGCAGCCCAACTTTCAGCCTCTATGTCCCTATCCTCTGGAACTCTTTTCACCTTGCCCCTCGGTCTTTAAAAGCCTCCTGTAAGCCTACCTCTTCTATCGTGTCTGATTGCCTCCCTGTCTCTCCTCAGTGTCTGGTACAGTCTCTGTAAAGCACTTAAAGAGACGTTAGCCTATTTGAATTGTGCTGCATACAAATGCAAGTTTTAATTTAACGAAAAGTACTTTTAAGTATCTTAAAATTTCAACCTTAGCTCGTATTTACCAATCATTTTTTGCTTCAAATTAAAAATTAGAAGTGCGTTTAACCTATGCATAGCAAGCATTTGCTCTGATTATGTACTGATGATCCACAATATATATTCTAGGTCTAAAAGAACCATGGCAGAAACTGCTAAACTAAAACGAATCCAAAAGGGCCTTCAAACTCTGGACGATCTATTATCGGCCGATGTCAGTATTCTGCGGGACCGAATTGAGCAGACCAGCTGGGAGTTCCACCAGGCTAAGTAAGAATGCTTTCAGGTGCAACAACAACAAAATTACATTTAGCCACAGCTTCTGTTGTTGTACCCACATGACCATAACTCGCTGAGGATAGTGTGTATTCCGGTTCCAGGGAGCTGTAAGATTTCTTGTGAATAAAGGGATTAAGGATATGGGCATAAGGCAGGAGTTAGAATAGATCAGCCATGATCTTATTGAATGGCGGGGCAGGCTAGACGGGCCGAATGGTTTACTCCTGCTCCTAATTCTTACGTTCAAAGTGATGCAGCATAGATTTGATGACTTTCAGCTCCATATGTGAACCGGGGGGGGGGGGGGGGGGAATTAATTATGGGTTTTACTATGGGAATTGTCACAGGTTCAGACCCGTAGGCACTTCTAACAAGAGGGGGGGGTTCACTGAATACACTGTCCATCACTGCGGTACTCCCAAGTTGAGATCGTCTAACATAGCAGACCAGGAATACAGCCCAAGATGTTCATGGATTGTATCGATTCAGTGCGATATCGTCCGCTGAGTCACCATGGAGTCAGGGAGAGAAGGACCCTTCATCACACGCAGAATAAACTGAGGACAGTCATGTATTGCATAGTGTAAATTAACCTTTTTTTAAAAAAGTGGGGAATCCACATCATCTTGCTTGAGCTGCAGTAACCTGCTCGTCCCTCTGTTCTATCGGTGGCCGTGCTTTAAGCCACTACGCCTTGACACTCTGGAACTCTCTCACTCCATCCCTCCGTCTTGGCCCATCCTTCCCCATATTTAGATTGCGCCTGAAGACCTTCCTCACCTCCCCACCCCACTCAGCATCATGCTCCACCACTGTCAAGTGCTCTGGGATGCTACCCTGCATGAGCGGTGCTATATACATGCAAGTTGTTGTTGTTCTTGTCGTTGTAACCATTTCTGGTGCCCTCAGGAAGCGGTTTGATAAGGCAGAGGTGGAATATGTGGCATCGAAACTCAACCTACACAAGAAAATCGAACTGAAGGAGCAGCTGACCGAGCACCTGTGCACCATCATCCAGCAGAATGAGCTGCGGAAAGCTCAGAAGCTGGAGGAGCTGATGCAGCAACTCGAGGTGGAGGAAGACGAGGAGGCAATGGAGCTGGAGATCGAGGTGGACAGAATGTTGCAACAGCAACAAGAATTACCCAAGGAGAGCATACAGTCAAACACAGCCAGGGAGGAATCAACCCAGCAAACCGTTTCGAACGCCGACAGCCAGAACCAATCAGTTGCACAGTCTCTGCTTGGAGAACAAGTGGTGAACCATGCTGTGAGCAGCACAGCTCAGATGGATTTAAAGGACCCTGATCAATCTCAAGAACCAGAAAATGCACAGCACAAGCCTCTAGAGGAGAGTAAAACCCCAGCTGTCGCAACTTGAGGCAAAATCTGTGCACGTGGGTGGTTCAGAAACGGGATGTATCAAACAGATTTATGGTGGGGGGATTTACATTACTTGATGGTCTTTTCTTTAGCAAACTTGGGCCCATGAAATTGAAACACAATCAATATTGTACATAAAATTTGAATCTCGTTTTTCAAACTGAAATCACATATGAACATTCAGGTTCTCGAATAGAGTTGAGGTTTTGGCTGAAAGATTACTCACACACAAAAAACATCAGTGAACAGTACCTTCTTTTAGCTCCGACGTTTGACTATTTAAAAAACGTTTTTACAAATGTTTGACACTAACCACAGCATAGCTCTGAAGCATTCTTTCTATCATGAGATGTGCAATATTCATTGGTTAATTTCTCATGCTCAAAGCAGCTGTTTGGACCTGAAAAGGACTGCCTTCAGCTGCAGTAACCTTAGAGTGCTGGAACAGGGAACTTCCCAATGCAGTTGGGATGCATTTTGTGTGATTGGAATAAAAATAATACTTGTATTTGATATAGCACCTTATCACATTGTTGAGACGTCTCAAAGAGCTTCACAGAATATATTATAAAGTGGATTGACTGCGTATTTGGTGGGCAAAAGACAGCAGCCAATTGTGCACAGCAGTGTCCACAAATAATTGTGGATTGAGTGACAAAATGTTTTCTTTTTTTGGAGGGATTATTACCCCTAGAAAGTGACCCACTAATCAACTTAAAACCAGGTTCCTAGTTACTGCTAGGTAAACGGAAGCTTGTGGAACAAGGAAATAAGGTTTTGCCCAGCTCGGGAATCGAACACGGGTACTCTCACTAGCAAGGCAAGCATGCTAACCACTCTGCTATGGGACACAATCTTAAATGTCAGTTTCTGCAGAAGTAGCTAGAAAGGTCATGGACCTTTTCCCAATAATGTACCATTGTGAAATTCATAGATGATCACATGGGTAAATTGTTAAATCACTTCCATTGTGAAGTGGACTTGAGGATTCAGGAATTATGCTCTGTGCCAAAGCATTGTTTAATTGTGGAACTGACATTAAAAAATTAACCCGTTTTGCATCAATTCTTCAGCAACACTAAGCTTTATTTTATAGTTACTTAACCGTGAAGTAACCTTCACTTTACTGATGCCTTACAATAAAGCCCAAAAGAGTATCAAAAGTGTTCATGTGGTATGACCTCAAACTCAAAAATAAGCAAAAGTAATTAAGTTTAACTATTGTATAGATATCAATTAAGTTATTTCCACCAAGTGAAAATATCTTGGACAACCAAAAATTATCATTTTGAGTATTGTAAGGCGATAGGCTGGGTACTTAAGAAATCTAGGTATTTAATTCCACTCAACATAAGTGCTCAGACCACACAAAGAGATCTGGGTGTTGGGTTTATCTACTTTGGTCTCAAGGGAAAACCAGAAGCTCAATATATTTCTCAAATGGCTTCACTCAACTTACAAACAGGTACACAAGTTGAGTGGTATCTTCCTCAGTGATGAAGGAAGATTGGGACTTTGATGCTTAACGTGTCTGTTGTCAGGTGATTTGGTGCTTTGCTATTTTGCACATTATTTGGAAGATTCCACACCACAAAATGCTTTATACTCACAAATATACAGTCAATTAACTTTACAATATATTCTGTGAAGCACTTTGAGATGTCTAGAAACGTGAAAAGCGCTATATCAAATGCAAGGATAATATGCGAACAATGATTGATTTTCCACGCATTTTCGTTAATTTCCATGGAACTAACCCGATATTAACACTGTTTAAACGGTAGTACTCGAAGGTATACGTTAGCACATTTTCAACTTGTGAAAATATTTGAAAATATTTTTATATGAAGTATTTGTATGTTTCTTAAAACTTAACTATCAACTTAATATTATCAGCTTTTTAACATATTTATGTTAAATTATCAGTGTGGTTACCAAAGGTTGTGGAATTCGTGTTTTATGTATATTAAAGTAACATGTGAAGATACTTCCAAATATCCAATTTTATTCTAAAAACAAAACCACAAGCATTTATAATAGTGATATTTACATCCCGGTCAAGTGCATTGGATTAGTACACCTGGACCCCTTAAATTGACATTAGAATCCACAAAGCATTTAAGTTTTCAAAACACAGAAATAACTTGATATTTTAATACCATTTTATAAGTTGAAACCATGGCAAGTCATTGTATGTGATGCAGTTATAATCTCTCAAGGTAGGTCACATTATTGCCACTGATACAAAATGATTTCCATACAAAATGCAGTCACTGCACTTCACAGTAAATCCTGTGAAACACTTTGAGATGACCTCCTGATGTGAAAGGCTCTACATCAAATGTAAGCATCATTTTAACAGAAAATAATTCCGCCTCTCCTTCCCATAGTTGAACAGTTTTTTTCTGAGTTAGTGTGAGTATTATTCCCATAAAATTAAATAGATCAGCATTTTGAAATGCAGTGATGATTAGCCTTGGACTGGTACCAAGGACCGGCAGCGTTACTGTCGAGCCAGAATACACACCAGCTGAATAAAAATGTAATTGCGTTAATATATTGTAGTTGTGGAAGTGCTAGGTCCAAGCCAAGATTGAACATCACAATGAATCTGCATCCATATTGTATGCTGATAAACGTTTAATTAAAAAATGTATATAATGAACAGTAACCTTTAAAGTCCAAATAAACAATTGCAGGGCAGCCAAAGCATACTGCTGATTGGATTAAGCTGGTTTGGAAAGCAGACTTGAAGTAAAGGGCATGGGAATTTCCATTTGTTCCTAAGGTTTTTTTAAATAATATTTATATAATAAACCAGCGCATATTTGTCGAGGTTTGAGTTAGAACCACAAAATCTGAATTGCCAGGAATGAATTAACTTTTCCCTCAAAAAAATAATTCCCAGTCATTCTGTGCCATGAAACACTCATCCGTACACTGCCCTTTCTGGGATGCTCTTGGGGGGGGGGGGGGGGCGGTGGTGCTAAAAAGCTTTTACATCCCAAGTCCCCAAATTTCCTTGCATGGCTTTGTTTTATAAACCTCCATTAAGTGAAGGTTAGTCCCCAAGAGAGAACTCCCAGAAGCAGCATAACTAGTGTGTATAGCTGATCTGCAATATTGGAAAACCCTACCTGCCTTTGTCTGCAGCTTTGGCAGAGACCTAAGAATAGTCCGTCTGTCCAGTCAAAGAACATAATAATAATAATAATAATAATAATAATAATAATAATAATCCTTGCATTTGATATAGCGCTTTTCACGTCGGGAGGACGTCCCAAAGCGCTTCACAGAACACACTGTAAAGTGAATTGACTGTATATTTGTGGGCGAACGCGGCAGCCAATTGCGCACAGCAATGTCCCACAAACAGTCGTAGATTGAAAATGACCAATTTTTTTTTATTATTGTTTTTTTTTTGGTTTTTTTGGAGGGATTATTATTAGGCGTGTGGAGTAAGGAAACTTGCCCAAGGTTTCGCCCTCTGCCTGGAATTGAACTCAGGTCTCTCGCTTGCAAAGCGAGTGCTCTAACCACTGAGCTACAGGACTCCATAGGCAAACATAGGCAAAGGAGAGAGATCCTTTGCCCCCCCCCCCCCCCCCCACTCCCCTCCATGAAGGGGATCTTTGATACAATGATTCATCTTTGATTAACCCCAAGTGACACTAACTTCCTTGATAGAAAATATTTCCTGGTTCCTTGGTTTTAAATCACTTTTTTTAAAAAAACAGGTGCTCAACTTTGGTGCTCTTAATCTCCCCACCCCCATCACACCAGAGCTTGTCAGGCTCCACTGGCTTCCTATCAAAGAATGGATCAATTTCACTTATCTACAAATCCCTTCAAACCTGGCATTTCCCTACCTTTCTGACCTGCTTTCTCCCCTCTCCACTACCCACTGCCTCTGCTCAACAGGCACTGGCTTCCTGCTTATCCCTCGTCCCCTCCACCATTGGCAGCTGTGCTTTCAGCCACTATGCCTTGAAGCTTTGGAACACTCTCTCCCAATCTCTCCACCTTGTCCCCTCTTTTCGATCACGACTGAAGACCTTCCTCTTCGATTGTGCTTACAGTTACCTCCTCCCATCCTCTGGTTCAGCATCAGGCTCCACCACCGTTAAGTGCTCCAAGACTCTGAACGGTGAGATATAAATCCAAGTTGTTTTTAAGCATAACTAATCGTCATGGCTAATCTATACAGAGTTTAATAAGCAGTAAATTCCATATCTTGCCTCCCCCAAAATAATTATTCAATTGACAAGAAGAAAATCAGTTTCAATTTGCATTGTTTATACTAACAAGTTTTTCTGGCCAAATTTTAAACATTCAAACACTAGCCAGATGGGAATGAAATAAAATACAATTGACAGAGAGGGACGCTAGCAAAAAGCTGGCTTAAAACCACAATGCAGAAAGGACAAGTTGTTTCAATTACATGGTGTTTCTCCAGTAAGACTTGCAACTGATTGCTGGTGGACAGTCTCATCCCTTAAGCAATCTGGAATGTTACCAGTCAGCATTCTGTTTTTCCAGACAGTACATGACTGGCCAAATAATTTACCAAGTTTTACCCAGTCTTTTGCAAAGCAGATACTGCAACACAAATATACACATGTGTATATATACACTCACAGCAGTTTAGAAGTTCCGAGGTTTGCTTTACAGAGCCATTGTAATATTGTGATTAAACCACAATGCTGAATTTCTGCAAGTTTCCAAAGGGTTTTATTACCCAATAGTATTTTCAAAGAGGCAAACCTACACGAGCAAGACTTAGTATTTAAAGCTTCTTATTCTGAGCAGTATCATAGGACAATTTATCTATATCCTCTTTGACCACAATATCAATCGCAATGCTCGATACTTGACTTTACTGTGGAAAGTGGACAAAGGGCTGGACCGCAAGATTACTTTCCACTCCACACATTGGTCCACTACTTTGGGAATCTGTTTTCTGAAGAATATGTGTTTACATTGCAATACACTAAAAGGTCTGAATCCATCTAACTTCCAATGGAAGAAATTTCAAACGCCACAGGATGCAAAATCAAGGTCTTATTGGAAAAGGCTAGATAGACCATTCTCCGCCTAACCTGTACACCCCATGACTGAGGATTGAATACAATTTGCGCCAATTGCGGACATATTTTATCTTAGGAGTCCCCACAAACAGCCGTAAGGTGAATGATTAGTTTACCTGGAAGATTGTTGGCCAGCACACTGGGAGAAACCTAGCTTCCCTTTTCTCCAGTATTGTCCTGGGGATCTTTAATATTCAAATGAAGAACATCTGATGGAAAGGACTGCACTTACCTATTCACTATTTCAGTAAAAGACTAGTAAATCTATGGAAGAGGCTCCCCAGGGAGACAATGGAAAGCAGATGGTGTCAATTCAATCAAATGCAAATTAGAAAATAGAAAATAATATTTTGGGATATAGTATAAGTAATTTGAGACATGACGACAAATGATGTATGCTTGGAAGAACTAGGCTACTTTGGATCTAAGGTTCCCAAAGCGTTCTACTGT